ATATATTTAAAACACAAATATACTTTCGTTTATTTAAAAATATTATTTATGAAAAGAAACTTTTTTTTATTATTTTTTATATTATTTTATACCTAATAATTGTCTATGTGATGGGAAATCAAGAATATTTGACGGATGAGAAATTACGTTGAATTCTAATATTTCAATCTTAATAAAGCAAATGTACGAGCCGTTTAGTGATATGCATATTATATACGTAATTTCTGGTTTAATCATTACTTATCTATTAATTCATGTAAAATGATGTACACATGGTTATATAGATATATGTAAATTTACTAAATAGCACACAAGAATCAATAAAATTGTTCATTGGAAAAAAAATCAAGTTTTTTTTAAATCATAAATTATGTATATATTTGCAAATAAAGTTTCGAGAAAATTAAAATTATAAATTTTTAATATATTCAGAAGTTATATTGACAAAATTACCTAAAATAGTCATTTTAATAATTATTATAAAATTTCAATTATATATTTGAAAATAAAAAGCAATTTAATTATGTGAATTTATTTATATAATTTAGTTTTTATATATTTCTTTAGTTTGTTAGCATTCAATTAACACTGCTTGTTTAACAGATATATATTCTTTTCTCAAGTTACATATTAGAAAGAGTATAATTTTGTTGATTCAGTGCACGCACATGTGTATAACAATACCGTTAGAGGAAAATCAGAGCATTCATTATAAATTATACTAAAGAAGTAAACTGTATTCATCATACATAATTAATATTTTTTTTTTTTTTTTTAAATTGAAGGACATACGTTTCACGAAAAACATATTTTACTAATTTAACGCGCCATAAATTAACATACTAAACCGATTCAAAATTAAAGCAAATTATATTTCAAAAATAAATTTAAAAATATTTTACTTAAAATAAATAAATAAAATAATAATGTAATTGCAGAATTAAATCATTCTAAAGAAAATTAATAATATCAATTTTCCGGCATTATTTTCTTTAGAACTAATTAATTCTTCAATCTGGATTATAAAAAGATATTATTATTTAAAGAACTTGAATACGAGATTTAGTATAATAGAGATATAAAAAAAAAAAGAAACACAGTGTTTTCAGTTTGGTTTCACTGTGGAATGAAGACAATAAATATAGAAAATTTTTTTTCAATGTGTAAATGCAATTTCCTTGGAATGAATCCACAGCCAGAGACGCATGAGAAAAGATAAACCAAAGGGAATGAGAAGAAAAAGGAGGTGGAGTGCAACTTTGAAACCTTGCCCTAGAGGCACATCCTTTGCTTTCAACGGGACGGCTCGACATTGTGAAGACAATAAAATAGAAATTGGAAGAAAACTAAAAGTAGCACAAAACACTTTTCTGCTCTTTGAAAAAATTCAATTATTTAGTCCAATTGTCTTTTAACCAAATTACCACTTTGGAGTTGATGGTGGGGGTGAAAAAAAAAGAAGAACACACTATACACCAGACAATGAAATTTTAACAAAATAAAAATTTTATACAACCTATATATATATTGAAGGTCTGAATTAGTAATTTTTCAAATATTTTCTTTTTAATATATCTTATTCTATCATTCTAGAATTTCTTATCTATGGAACAATTTTCTTCTTTAATACACATTTTTTTTCTAAATCTTTATAAATATTTCATAATTCACTTGATAAAACATTTAATAAAATTCCATCTATATATTTTATCTTAACATATAGAGAGGAAATGTTTAATAAGCTCTAATTATATATGATTTAAAATTTATTTCATCGAAAGAATGAACAAAAATCAATAAAATTTGCGCTGATACACTGAAAGAAAAATTTATTTGATTCAAATATATACGATTACTTGACTATTATAAATATTTACTTGAACCAAATAATTTTTATTTTGAATTAAACAAAATTTCATTTGAACCAATAATTTTTGTATTTGAAATAAATATCATTTTATTGATTTAAATAATTATTTAATACAAATAAATATATTTTATACAAATAAATATATATTTAATACAAATAAATATATTTAATGCAAATAAAATTTTTTTTTTCAGTGAAAACAATACAATTACATTGTTCATCAATCTATAAATATAAATGACTATTTCTAACGAATTTTTCAGTGGATGGAAAATTTGTACAGAACAAGGTGGGTCCATGCCCTCCTATGAAGAAGTAAATGTGGTCCCTCTTAAAGTTTAAAGCTATGGCTCAATGAACTCCTGGAGGATGAAGTGCAAAGCAAGATGCTGAATGCACGGATATATATATATATATATCCGATGGAGTGAGAAAATAAGTAAGGGAGGGAACGAAGGGCGAGCACTCGATTTACGTTGGTACAAAGTTAATTGAATAGGGAGGCCCACCCTCTCCTTTTCTCCTTTAGATCTTCTCCTTTCTTTTTTTTTCCTCCTTTTTTACCGAGCTAGTAAAAAAAACCGACCTCTTTTATTTTTCAGCCATGACTCCTATTCCCTCTCTTATCACCCAGATTCTCTTATTTTTATCATAATAATAATAATAATAATAATAATAATAATAATAATAATACATATCTCAGAATTTGGTTTATTCTGCTAGGCAACGAATAATAATAATAATAATAATAATAATAATAATAATAATAATAATAATAATAATAATAAAAAGATCACTATCACATAAAACGAATGAAAAAAAAATATATAACATTTTTCATTTGTTATAATTTATAATAACTGTGCGAGGAAACAGGTTTCAGTTGACAACAATATATTTTAATTAAAAAATATATTCTATTTCGCGAACAAAAAAAAAAATTATTTAATTCAAATAATATGTTACTTAACTATATTATCAAAAAAATATTTACTTGAACCAAATAATGATTATTTGAGATGATATTTGTTTGAAATACAAAAATTATTGATTTAAATACAGTTTATTTAATTCAATTATTTGTGTGTTTAAAAATTATTTAATTCAAGTAAATATTTATTTAACAATAGTCAAGTAACCGGATATTTGCGAATAAAAGAAATTTTCTTTTTCAATAAAAATTAAACTTTAAAATTAAAAATTTAAAACTTTTAAATTAAAACTTTAGGTTTTATTTAAACTTAAAATTATATATTTATTTACGTTTTGTTTGAATCAAACAAAAAAATTTTTTTTTTTTTATTGAATTAATAAATTTTTGATTGTCCTAATGAAAATTTATTTATATTATTTGAGTTAAAAATAAAAAAATTTATTTGCGCTAAATAAAAATATTATTTCCGTTAAATAAAATTTTATTTGTGCTAAATAAATTCTTATATTTAAAAAAAAAAGATAAAAAGTTATTAAATTTTTATTTTCTTCAAATAAATTTTGTTTCTCTCAAATAAACGTCAATAAAATATTTCTATTATCCAAAATTTATTATTGTCAACATAAAACCTCACAGTTGAAAGTTAAAGAACATTAAAATATTCAAATTTGCATTTTATGTTTAAATGTAAAAAAAAAAAAAAAAAAATGAAAACAAGATTTACTTGCGAGTATTAAATAGCGTCTATATCTCGACACTAAGATAATTAAATAGCAATTATGAATATTGATTTTAACGTCAAAGTATAGTGTGTCAATTTATCGAGAAAGCAAGAGGAAGGTGGATGTCAATTATATGCATCTGTGCGCAACTGACTCTATATAGCCTTAATTCAAACGTTATATAGAATATGCATCGACTATAATGGCTACTTGTGATATATATAGAGAAGTTTTGAGCTTTTCCACTCTCTGCTTCAGTTCGGACTTGTTTCCTTTGTTCTAGGATAATGATGAATTTGCTCTGTCCGTTCAAGGAGCGTTTAACGTACTGTGGTTTTCTTTGAAGAGAACTCTGCTTTACAAAGAACAACGTAAAGTGCTTCTCAAAGACGATTCTTTTTTTTTCTCTCTCTCTCTCTCTTTCTCTCTCCTTTTCTTTCTCTTGCGACGAAAAAGAAAAACAGTCAATAATGTGCAAAGTAAAAGCTTATAATGAATATCATTGCCACTGTTGATATTGTTTCAAAAGATTTTCCTCCTAATAAGAAAAATAATTTTTATTTTAAAAAATATTTTTCCTTCTGATATATTAAATTTAGAACTATATGATAATAGAAAATTGTAATATAATTGTGATGGAAGTAATTACTTCGCTAAAAGTGAAATGCTTTTGACAAGATGATAGTAGAGATATTCACGCTCTTGAGGTTGAGTTGCGGTTTCATAAGGAGTTCAAGTTCGAACACTTGCGCAAAGGAAAGTGATGAAAGTTTGTAATATAATTTTTTGGAAAATAAAAATATTCACTAATTTTCTCTCCACATATGAGAAAATATTTTTTTTTTTTTTTGGGGAAAAAAATTAGTTATTTTATTTTTAGCAGTAGTAAAGCAGGCTATTATTATTAGTAATGCAATAGAAGGGGAGAGAGAAGAGGTTACATATAGATAAGAAGAGAAAATTTATAGTCTGTCGAAGGGCGGGAAATTTCAACTCCTGATCTTCATTTCTTTTTTTTTTCGTCTCATATATAATATAAAAGAGAGGAAATCGAAGCTTTTTGCTATGAATATAGTTGATCCTTCAACATAATTTACCGTGTTTCTACCAAGCTTGGATAAACGTCACGCTATTCCCGCAGGATCTTTGCGGCAGGCCTCCTGTCAAGGTTGGCTCACGACACCTGAGACGTGCCTTGAATCCATGGTTTGACACTCAACCGCCTCCAAGAATATATATATATATATATATTCTCTCAAGATTCTGATATGTTAGAAACATTGATCGAAATTCAGACTTTAGAGACGAAAAGCGCTTCTCCACAATAAACATCTATTTCTTGAGTGACATTTGTTGCTTTTTATTATCTATCAATTCGCGAAAACATTTTCTCCATATATAGAAATTCACCATTTTCAATAACACATTTTCGATTTCAAATATCAAAAGAGAAGCACATTTTTAATGTACTCACCAGAAAATCCAATCGATGTAGATCCAAACTGAAACAAAAAAAAAATAATTTGTTTTTATTAAACATTGAACAAAAAAAAAAAAAGAAAACACAATATAATTTTTACCACTTCCATAGTAAATGGTACACTGAAAAAAAAAATTTATTTGGTTCAAATACTCGATTACTTGACTATTATCAAATAAATATTTATTTGTATCAAATAATTATTATTTGCTCTCTCTAAATCTGAATCAGTAGAAATTTTACTAATTCAATCAGTATACTTTTCATTTTAACTGAAGTTTCAGTTATTTTTTGAAATTTACTAATACACACAAAAAACAAATACTGAAACTATTAACATCTTTAAATCAAAATGCCTTAAAACTAGTGTAATTTAATCTTAAAACTAGATTAAGTCATTTTTAGGACTTAAAATCATACACTCAAGGCTGAAATTCAGTAAAAATGGTTCTAATGTTAACGGTTTTAGTCAAAAGGGAACTAAAAGTAAGTATTATTTTTTAGTGTGTATAATTAGTGAATATGCAAGCAATAGAAAATAACTTATGTAAATCAGTAATTTGTATATAACATAACCTTTAAAATTAACTATTAAATCAGTAGATTTTGTTGCCGCCGCCATATATTTATATTACTGATTCAATCAGTAATTGATAGTTTACTAATTGAATCAGTAAATTTCTACTAATTGTCAGTTTGCTCAATTCTTGCTATGGCAATTAGTAGATTTCTACTGCTAATCAGTAAAATATGACTAATTCAGATTTAGAGAGTGAGATAGTATGTATTTGTTTCAAATACAGAAATTATTGGTTCAAATATTTAATTCAAATAAAAATAATTTGATTCAAGTAAATATTTATTTGATAATTGTCAAGTAATTGAGTATTTGAATGAAATAAATTTTTTTTCAGTGTAAATTTTAGGGTATTTTATTTTATTTTTTACTTTATTAAGTATAATTTCTAATTTTAGAAATTACATTTTTTGACTCGAATTTTTCCTTTCTTACGTTTTTTCAAGCTATATCTATATATACACTAAACAAACTGCTCAATTTGCGGTTCGAGAACGGAATAAATGACCCAGAGTCCAGACTTTTCAACGTATTGGTTTCGGACTCCTGCGCAATTTTATTCGCTACACGATTTTGCAGCAAGAAGTCAGGTTGCTGTGACCGTAACTCGTGTCAATTTATCACGTCTCATGATGTCAACAAGTAATAATAACAGAAACACTTTACAGCTTTCATGCAGTAGAAACGTGTTCGGGGAACAATTTTCAAAAATCATACAAAAAAAAAAAAAAAAGTTTGTCAATCTTTAAAAATCTTTTAAAGATTGACAAACATAAAAAAAATATATAAATATTAAAAAATACATAAATATAAAAAAATATTTAAAAAAAATATATATATACAAAATGACATAAATCTGTATGAAAATGATAAAATAATACAGAATTCGAAAATAGTTCTGGAAAAAAAAAAAAAAGAAAACAATAATATGAAATACATCGGAGGGGAAAAGAAAGGAAAAAATAACATAAAGTTGAATATAGAGAGAAAGAAACAGAATATGTGAACGGACCACCCTGAGAATGCGTGTTGCAGCGTGCAATCTCATGGTTCAGGAATTTCGCGTTTGGGGCAAGTCTGTGACTCTGTGGTATCCTAAGACAGCTTTAAAGCTTTCACCAAAGGAATGCTCTTGACTAAAGCCTCTACTGCAGGAATTTACTTCGTTTAAAGAGATATAGAGAAAATCAAAACAACTTTCCTCCAATTCCTCTTTGTCTGCTCTTCTATTTTACCAAAAAAAAAAAAACCCCCCAATTTGATCATTCTATACAAAATCAATTAACTTTAATTAAATATTTCCAATTTTTTCTATATTGGCTACTATTATCGAGAATGTTTCATATAGAAAAAATAATAATCATTTAAAAAAAAATATGTTTCATAAATGATAATTATTTACAAACTTTGTTTTAAGAAAAAATATGAAAAAAACGTAAAATAAAGATAAAAATGTTATATAAGCGACTGATTTCCTTTTTTAATACATCCTGTAAGTAATCTTTTTTTTTTTTTTTTTTTTTTTACTAATAATTATATGTGTCTATAAAAAACCGGATATTCAGAAAAATTTTATTTACAAATATTATCTCTCTGCGAATTATATGAATAATTCAAAAAAATTATTATAACAAAAATTGGATATTTTATTTTTTAAAAATTCATTATAATTAAAAATTTTTAACTAGTTAAAATTATTGATGCAGTATACAACACTCTTTTCACATAATAAAATAAAAGATATGAAAAACATTCTATTCATTTGTTTTCATTGTATTCCTTTTTTTATTTCACGAGAGAGATTCTCTTGTTTTTCATGTTCAATTTTTCGAGCAAGACTCATGCATCACTAGTTAAAATGTGAATTCAAAGAAATCAAAATTTGATTTCCTACTGTTCGAAATTCGGTATATTATTTTTTATATTATTATTATTATTATTATTAACGTCATTCACTATTCAATAATTAATTAAAACCTTTTGTGATCGTTATAAATAAAGGGGAAAAATAAATTAAATTTTTATGCCGACCCTGTTATAATTATTATTAAAAATTATGCAAAATATTGAAAATTTTGTATTTTCATTTTATATTTGTAAATGTATGAAAATTAATTAAAATTTAGAAGCATTAATCATCTGCAGAAACACCAGAGGACTTTGAACATCCCCAGAGCGTAAGTAAATGGAGACTGTGATTGGCTAACGGATCACCTACACACAGTCCGTCAACTTCCTGCAGTTGAAATCCTATCGTTTTGGATATTTTAAAATATGCAAAAAATATAATTCTATTTAAAATTTCATAATTAAATAAATATAGTAAAAAATAAAATTTACGGATTTCCTATACAATTTTTTTTCAAGGAATATTGAACAAAAAGTTGAACAATAAGTTTTGACTTGTATATATATAAGAGAAAGGATTTTTCTGCTCACAAAGTATAGAGAGAGAGAAAGAGAAGCGAGATATATATTCATTTTTATAAAACTGTCCAAGTGCACACGCATAGATAGGAAGGTACCTGGCGATAAGGTGTAACGGACAAGAAATGGCAACGAGAAGAGAAAGAAAGTGGAGGATAGCCAACAAACTTGAATTTATGCTCATGCTGCAGCACATAAACTTCCGCGTCTTTGCATCCCTTCACTGCTATGAGAAAATCCTATATACCCACGATATTCCATCTGAACCCAAGTCGTTTGTTTTTTTTTTTTTCATCATTTTTAAAATTCATCATTTTTACAATACTGTGCGGAAGAATTTCACTGACAAAAAAAAAAATATAAAGAATTTTAACATGTTTACAAAAGATGTAAAATGTAATTTCTTCTTTTTTTTTGTAAATAAGAAAAACATCAATTTCTTTCTATGTCGCGTGACTAAAATCATAAAATTGTATTGAATAATTTGCATCAGGGCCTACGCCCTTTGGCATTAGTCACGCAATGATAGAATAATGCTTAAAAGGTTATTTAAACATGAGAAAAAAATTTGATTCCTAAATTAATAGGAGAAAAAAATTCGCGGAATTTTTGTCATAATAAAATTATTATTGAAATTATTAAATTACTAATTCAAATTAGTAAAAAAAAAATTTCTATTAAATTAGCAAAATTTTACTTTCAAATTAGTGAAATTAATTAGTAATAATAATACTATTATTAGTAATATCAATTAGTGAAATTTAATTAGAAGTAAACAAATTTACAATCAAATTAGTCATAACTAATTAGTACACAGAAAATTATAAGGTATTAAAATAAGCTGCAACGCTTATTATTTTAATGCCTTTTAATTTTCTGTGTAGTAAAAAAAATGTTTACTACGAAATTAGTAAAATGCTCTTTAAATCTGAATTAGTAAAAATGTTTACTAATTTGAATTAGTGACTCACTTTTTGCGCTTCTGAATTAGTAAAATTTTACTAATTATTAGTAAATTTTACTAACAATTAGTAAAATTTTTACTAATTCGGAAGCAAAAAGTGAGTCACTAATTCAAATTAGTAAACATTTTTACTAATTCAGATTTAGAGAGTGTAACTAAAAAGTCAATTACTAATTCTTTAGTGTTTTTCTCAAAGATTGATTCAAATTTTTTTTTAATTCACAGAAAATTAAAAGGCATTAAAATAAGCTGCAACGCTTATTATTTTAATCCAATTTTGCTTATTTTAATCCATTTTGGTATTAAAATAAGCAAAATTTGATTAAAATAATAAGCGTTGCAGGTTATTTTAATACCTTATAATTTTCTGTGTTAATGAAAAAAAATATACTAAATATTTTTATACATTCAAGTATAAATAATAGGAAATAAAGAAACTAAAAATTTCAAGGGCATAAAAAAATACGAAATGTGACATAATAATGCGTTAGATGCATCTTTCTCACGCTTCCTCATACACAAACACTAACGCACGCAAAATATCTTTGAAATAAACGTGTACTAGAATATGCAATGGTGCAGAGCCAATACATTTGTGCTCAACACTAACTCTGACCTTCTCTGATGATCTTCCGGGTCGATTCGATCTTCCCGAGGATCGTGACTAGCCAAATGGACAGACATGAAATACACATATACTTCTCATAAATAAGAAATGACCATCTTCTAGATTTGATTTCTATATATAGAGAAAAATCAGCTAAATTATTTAAGCAAAAAAAAAACTAATTTACTAAACACAACTAAACCTATATAATTTAAATTAAAAAAACACAAATAAAATTTTATTTAGCGCAAATATTTATTTGGCTTCTATATCTTTTCTCTGAGTGTATATAATGAGGTAAAATATGTTAAAACAATTGTTGTAATTTATATAATTTTTTGTTTTTAAAAAAACTACCGAGTTTGACTTCCGTTTTTTTTGTCTCTCTCTACTTTATTTACTACCCTCTGAAAGAATGAAGGCGAAGCGGAAGGGGTAGAGGAATGG